GGATCCCAAGCAAGGCAAAATCATCATTCTTCAAGAAAGTTTAATTTTAGCAGAATGAAGTGTCTTCTTCTTCTTCTTCATAGCTAGCCTTCATTCCTCCTTGGACTATAGCCTTCTTTCTTATGCTTGGACAATTTCTATGCTTTAATGGGAATCTAAAGTATCTGGTTTTGCCTTTTTATCTGCACCTTCCTTTGCCAGGATATGGATGCAGTTTGAAACAGCTTCTGTAAATAACCTCCTTTATGAATCTAAGTTGAATGCCTTTTTATGTTGGCCCAATCCCTCCGTTTATGCTGTTCTTTTACTTTAAAATTAGTAATTACCAATACTTACAGTGTAATTAATTAAGTGCTAAACTTCAACTCTTTGGCCTAACAATATCTACTTCCATTATATGCTTCTCTATTTTTTGTCCCTGCTGATAGTTATTTAATTTGTTGTTAATCGCTGATTTTAATTCTGCACTGGATGGTGGATGAGACCATCCATCCTGAACTTCTTCAATAACCAAAGTATAAATGATTTTGTTTTCTCTATTTCTTCCTCCTGTTTGCTGCCCAAATTTTAATCAAAGACACTGAAGCATACTTAATATTGAAATAATATAAGGTCTTAGGAAAAGATATCATGGTTCTCAGAGCACTAAAGAGGACTCTGCAAAAGACTTTGTCATTATTGAATGACCTGCATTCATTCTGGTTTCACTAAACATGTAAGTGCTTCTAGCTATCTTTTTTGCCTTTTTTCCTGATTAATTCAATCAATTGGAGCCTAGTATACATGGCCCTGCTATCTTAGTTGATTTCATTTTGCCTGTTTTAGATTGTAAATAAGCTAGGTTGTAACAATCGCTATCTTTAATTGATTGGTCTTTCAATGTAGGCCTCCCGTGGAGCTAAGAAGTCTCACTGCTCCAGCTAATCTGGGAAGCAAAAAAAGAAACAGGACAAGGAGGGGAAAGTGCCCTCAAAGAGAAAGTATAGAAGAATCTTTCTTTGGGTCGCCAGCACTCTGTAAGTAGCAGAATCAGGGAACCCTTCCATGGGGAGACATCAAACTCATAGCGCCTTCGAACACTGAACACTCAAAAAGGCAGTCTGGGAAAGCAAGGCAATATCTTATCATTCTTAGAAAGAGTTGACTTGGACAAAAGTTTCTGCTTCTTCCTAGCCGTCATTCTTCACTAGATTACATTCTTTCTTTTGGTTGGACAGTACTTCTAATTCATGTTTATCTACAATTTTTAATGGGAAAACCAAACTCCAAAGTGGGCTATTTGCTTCCGGATATCCACCTTTCTTCGCTACCTAGGATGCAGTTTGAAATAGCTTTTGTAAATAACCTTCTTTAGGAATACACAACAGATTTTGGAGACAAAAAAGGAGTCATAATGTACATGATCTATGTTCAATCTCACATGCATGATTTTCAACCATCTTTTATCATGTTGGTTAGCTCACTCAAAACATACTTTACTAGTTGGTATTTTGCACCTGCAAAGGTGAGTTGTAAGGCAACTTAGAAGAAGTTTCAATTTGTGTGGTAAAACATAATTTGTTTCGACAAAAGTTAGCTATTAGCAACAACAACTGATGCAGTAAGATATAATTAACTCTTTCATCAAAGCATACAATTAAATTAGAACTTAGTCAGGTAGGGAGAAATTTAGGAAAAAGGAAAGGCTATTAACAATGACTCTTGAACTGTCTACAACTACCTGTGCAAGGTTTAGATCAGCTTCAACAGCAGCTCAGAGATCATCCCATCTCTAGTATCCAGGAAACTGATGTTTAGTTGACCAAAGATCAACAACTGAAAGATCAATTGGGAAAAACTGATTTAAATTAACATAAAACTCGAGATAATATTTGAGAAACATGCAAAAGAAGAAGAAAATAACATAAATTGAGCTAGAGATGATGCTCAGATTTTACCACTGAATTTCCATATGTTTTTTTATCAATTCTGGAATATATTTGTGCAAAACAATACCAATCATATACAGTGTTTATATAATACATTTGACTAATGATATAAAGCCCTTAAAGCAAGGAGCAAGTAACATGGATACAATTAAAGCCAAATCATATATTTAGATGCAACACTCTACATCAATGAACATGAGAATTACGTTGAAAAACAAACAAAGGAACTTCTTAGCAACTTGATGAAACTGAACTGGACATGATTAGGGGGTGTGAACAGTAACCTCGCTGCATTGTTCCATTTATCTTCAGCACATCAGTGTGCTTACTAATGTGAAATGGAAAATATGGCCCTTCTGAGGTTTTATAATCTCACTGATTTAAAATAAGTGCATCCTCACTAGAAAGGGATACACTTGGAGTATGCAAAGAGAAAGCGACAGCCCAAATATTCCAAATATTACAGCAGGAAGTCAGGAACTCAAAAAATAGAACTAGCTTTAGTTAATTCATTCTGATTATATGCAGAACTCAAACTGAAAAGATTTATGTTTGTTCAATTTTTTGCAGAAAATTCACAACTTTCATTTTATCAAAACTTAAAGGTTAGGACCAAGTGTTCTTAAAAAACAAAATGATGAAGGAATGAAACAACTAAATATTGATAACCTTACAAATAACTGAATCTTGATAATAGAAAAAAAATTAAATCCAAGAGACAGTACCTTAGTCTGCCTATAATTGGGTTTATATTCAATTTAATAACATAAAAAATTATATAA